GTGCCATGAATGCTGATCCGTTATATTATAAATCTAAAAACTGTACGGGTGAAATCATACTCCCGGAACACCTTCCAAGCATTCCTGTCGACATACTAAAGCGCTCAAAAGTACTTTTCCGGAAGCGTTCTCGTTTTCGTCCACTCGTTGACCACGGCTCAGTGGTAGACACGGGACCGATGCCGCACGGCTATGGAGACTGCAACGCCGGCTGTCAGGGTTTTGTTGTAAGAATTGCGTGCGCGCATGGCCAAAACTGAGTTATGTGATTTTTCCCCTACTCGATTCTAAACAAAGTCGAGTATTCTGAGACCAAAAGAGGTTCGCATAAATGCAAATTTGCGACCATATTTTGATGTAGGATCTACTTTCTCCATGTCCCTGTACAACCCAGAAAAATCCTGATGCAGCCCCTGAGTGCTATCGGCTTAGAAAGAGTCCACTGAAACATTGTAAAATGAATAGCACCGGTGTTCTTCCTCCAGTTTATTAACTTCAAAATACAAACGGCGTTGTATCGTTTGGTGATTACTGTTTTTTTAAGAAGGGCAGGGCTCCACTCGAAATCAAGGAGGCCGAAATCGGGGAAGGGCTCGGTCAATCCTGTGTCCAAATCCCAAATAACAAGACTTTGGCCGTGTCCCTGCGTCGGTACGCTCATTGGGCACCGCGTATGCGTACGCAAGTATCATTGCATGGGAGCTGAAAAGCCAGCTCAACTAGCAACGCCATCGCAATAACCCTGCATTACGCAAGATATCGATATGACGGGTGTTCCATTTTTCACGCGCTTGAAAAAGCGCGTGAGGTCTCCCTTCCCTTCAGAGGCACAACAGCTTGGAATAGTGTCCTCCACACGCATAACTGTTTTTTTCGTGTCCTTATTTCGTGTTTACTGAAAAGAGGGGGGGGGGGGGGGAGGGGAAAGCGATCTTCAACAAGATCGCATCTGCCAAAGGGTATTTGCAGAGAGGTCGAAAACCATGCCCTAAGCTTATGCGTGGAATGAACATTAACAGCATGCCGCATGAAACCGTGAACATAAATTTTCGCTAAAATGCATAGTTTTTATCGATTAAATTATGATACTTTGAGAACCTACGTATAGATAGGTTACGATAGTCACATATAGTGTGGACACGGGACACTCTATTCTTGTGAACGGATGGGTTAATAGAAAAAAAAATGCTAAGCACATGAACGGCAAGTTAGACATCAACTTGATTTTTCTGTGTCATTTCTCCTGAGGGGCCAGGGACCGGTCCCTCAGGCCCGGCTCCCGGCCCCTCAGGCCAGGCCTCCGACCCTTCAGCAGCAGTCCATTCCGCGTCCCTCCCCAGCGCACATGTCCGTACGGCGACTCTCGCCGCACGCGCTCTGGAGCCGCGTCAAAGCCGGTGTCATCGACCACTGGGTCGCCCCAGTTCGGCTCCGAGTTGTCCGGCACCAACCGTTCAGTGTCCAGCCAGACGGCCTCCCCGTCCGGGGGAGGACGGGGAGCGCGACCCGCCACTGAGGCTTGTGGGTCCCCGAGGCCGCCCTCGCTCTCCTCGCTCCCCCCCCCCGCAGGCGGACCCGCGCTGGAGTTTCAAAAACCCGCTCTCTTCCCACCAGACGCCTCACCAGTGGCTCTTGCACCACCAGACGTCCCTCTCCTCAATGTCAGTACGAAGGCCTTTTAGTTCGTCAATGAAGTTATAGCCAAGGCCATCACGAATCCCTAGGTTAGGGTGGCCTTGAGAGCGCTCGTGTGTGTACAGACTTGAACAAGAGCCTCCCATGGCGTGTTCTTAGCTGACGTTTGTACTCAACAACCTATTTTCATCCTGTTCGAACCATGGCCACGTCTTGTAACGACGCAGCCGAGGGCAGGGGGCGGAGGCTCTTAAGGACCCAAGACGTGGAGCCCGCACGTGATAACTTCAGAGGTCCCTTAACCCCTTCATGCCCTATCCTCAATACCAGCTATGTTTCGTCAGCGCTGAACCGGGCGATGCCTTCACCAACAGTCCACGACCGCCAGGGTTTAGGTGCCGCGATGGGCTGCCAGCCCCTCCCGACCATGAGGCACTTCTAGCCATGCATAAGAGCTTCTTCGCTGTATTATGAACGGTCATGGGTGTTCTGCTCAAGGGTCTACGCGCCCTTCGAGCGTGCGCTGTTGCCAGCAATGCTATCTTAAAGTGACTTCGTGAGGTCTGTTGCTGCTTAGCTTTATTTGTCGATGACGGTGATCGTAGATAAGAAAGGTTGCGCCACTTGTTTCAACCGGAGATTTGTTCGGTACCATAGACAGATGGCTCACTAAGCTCCCACTTGTAAAGACAGCCTGTTATGGCGCTGCATGGCGGCGGTGTTATTCCCTACGTTCCTGGTGACCGGCTGAGGGGATCGGTGTAGAGCAGCAGTACTGTAAGGCATTGATTTCGCATCAGAACTGTTTTTCTACAAATTTAGGCAGTCATTTTCGATTATGTCTCATTAAAACCCCTCAAGACTCTCCCGGGGAGCCGGTTGGATATCTTTCGTTCGGGTGGGGGTCAATTTGATCCCGTTGAGATCTCAGGAACTAAGGAAGCTCAAGGCACCAAATTTACGGAATGTGTTGGCCAGTACCTGAGCTCACTCAGGTCAAAGTTTGAGCCTCCTAGGTTATGACCCCTTGGTCAAATGAGGTCAAACAAAGTCAATCTCCAGGTTGGTCGCCAAAGTGCCAGCGGAACCTAGATACCTGCTCCAAGCAAAAGTTCACGAGATCACTTAAGGTCAGTGATCTTTTTAGACCGTTCAGAAGTCATGGTGACCAAAATCATACAAGACTGCTTTGAGTTTTGCATTTGAATAAGTGACAAAGATTACGATAACCAGTATGTTCCTAAAACAATATGTCGACCTGCGTCAATTAGGTCGGTGACCTATTCTGAACTTGGAAAAGTGCATGGAAGACGTATGCGGTTTCAGTTATCAATAAGTTTAAAATAAGCACCATAATCTACCCCTTACAGCAAGCCGCAGAGTAACAAATCGGGTTGGCTTTGGCTTTGGTCTGACCTTCAAAACTTACCTTAGGTCAGCGGAATTTGTTCATTCAATTGTTGTGCTGCCTAAGGAACTATCTCAGATATGTATGGTCTCGTCTAACACTACGTTGCTTCATCAGATTGAACGATTTCCTTGAAACTGACTTCACAAAATACATGGCTTGACTTTGACCTGCCGTAGGTCAGCGCCAATACGATTCGATCCGCTATTCACTTACCTACAGCCAAGCAAAATGTGGCGCAGCTGCACCGCGCCGCTCGGAAACCATTCTGGAAAACCTTCTGGAAATGGTCAACTCCCCCCCCCCCCCCGAGCGCGTGTTAAATCTCCTCGGCCGTCTGAAATTCATCAGAAAGCCCGACACCCAAGCGCGCCTCCACACGTTCTCGGCTGCGAGGGGACGGTCCGTCCTCTCCGTGGCGCACATCCGCCAGGTGGCGGGACAGCCGCCGCGGAAACGCTGACGTCAAAGGCGCCGACGGTGTGTTTCCAGTCCAGTCGTAGTTAGTCTATGGATATAGGGGACTTCGGTCCTACTCCCGACTGCCACCGCGCCAACTGTTGTGACGTCACAGATATACGGACGCCTATTAAGTTGGAATACCATACACACGCAAGGCCGAGCGGGCTGGGGTATTCCCAGGAAGGAAGACGGCAGACACGCGCCACCTGGTTGAGACATCTTCAGGACTGCCGTTCGGACTGCAGCCTGGTGAGCTGGTTAGAGCTGGAGTGCCGTCCGGTCCTCCCACTCATGTGACGGCGGGCACGAGTCGCCTCAGGTGCTGGCTGTTTGACGTTGGCACGCATGATCTGGCTCCGGTGGTACTGGCCGCACAAAACGTCAGGTGCCGCTAGAAGGCAGGACGTACGGTGCCAAGCTTCCAGCATGTTAAACTTCCGTCACCAAAATTTGCTGTTCGCCTGAAATTACACGATCGGGTGTTGGGGGTCAGGGCTCACATAACAAGCACCGCTTAGAATGAATTCTGTGCCAAGATAGTTACTTATTCAAAAGGTTCGGATAAGATTTAAGCAAAAAGAAAAACGTTAGTTTATCTCATGTATGGTGCTTGTGCCAATATGACTAAGAGTAACATATTTCGTTAAAAAGACGAAAGAGTGGGTCGGATGCATTGGACGATTCGTTCCACCACCTGCGATGTTTTGTTCAGGAGAAGGTATCGATCGGCCCAGTGACATTCAAACGGTCTAGAACAACACCGGCCTCCGATCGACACCTCGTTCCCGTATGACGTCACCTGACCTATGGGCGTCAAAACAACGTGCACAACCCTTTCACAGCATCACAAAAGGAACGCGGTCATTCACCTGAGTCATGCATGAAGGTGTCATTTGATGGTCTGTTTACGCCGATGCAGACAGTATAAAACGGGGTCGGCACGGCCGAGGGGCACAGCAGTCAAGATGAGGTCTACCGTTGTGCTCCTGGGAGTGGTGATCATCAGCTTTGCTGTATTTGCCCAAGTTTGTAAGTTTTAAATAGCGTTATATTCAGTGTTTATCATGCTTACGTCACGGTTTTCCGTGTGCCCGAGTTCAACTTAAAATAAGATATCCCTTTTGCTTGGGAACCATACCACGCTGAGCGGTTGCAATATGTATTTGAGTCTTGTGCTGCTATAATCTATAAGGCTGCATCAGTAGTAAGTACATTTTTTCACACACAAAAAGCCGTGTGATTTCACACAAACAAGCGCGTAAGTAGTAACTAACCATTTGGGGCCGTATTTTTCTACAAACATTTAAGGTGTGCGTATCTGTGCATCTGAAAAGAAAGGTGTGATATCATACTTAAACATGACGGTGTGATAAGACAAGAAATGTCTGTTCCCTTGAACTTTATGCCTGATATTAAGAAGAATAAGGGAAGCGTTGAAAATGAGCGTCGTAAAAATCCCGCGCCGCTGTTATGAAACCAGCTGCAAACGTTCTGCAAACCAAGGTTTTCCACGTCCTGTGAGTTCACTAATCTATGACATCGCTTTTAAAGCCTTGCAGAGCATCGAAGCGCCAAGTTTCAGTTTTGTGCTGTTTATCAGTAGCGAATGATGTCCTGGGTGAATCATCCGGACAAAACGGTGGTCTACATGCACAAGAATGAAATGTGATAGGTCAATGACCTTTGTGAAGCCAACCTCGGTCATTGACCTGTGATACTCCTGTCTGACGCTTTACCAGTACTCAGTTACTGTTTCGCACCGAATATGTTTGGGGAGAGTCTATATCTTTCTTCCTGGAGAGACTCTGTTTTGTGTTCATATAAGGCATGATTTACAAAGGTCGCATTAATTAAATAATTAACTACTCATTCCTTCCCTTTCCTTCCTTGAATGATCACAGGTTGATCTAAAGAGACCCAACGGAATGTGGTCAGGCCTGTCAGCCATGAGGCTAACAAACGGAATCCGTGCCGAGGGCGTGAGAAAACGAGAGAGAGAGAGAGAGAGAGAGAGAGAGAGAGAGAGAGAGAGAGAGAGAGAGAGAGAGAGAGAGAGAGAGAGAGAGAGAGAGAGAGAGAGAGAGAGAGAGAGAGAGAGAGAGAGAGAGAAGAGATAGAGAGAGAGAGAGAGGGAGAAAAAAAAAAGAAGAAAGAAATGGAAGTAGAGAGAGAGTTGAAGATCTATACATATTATATATATATCTATTATGATATATATAATATATATATATATATTATATACTTATTTATATATATATGTGGAATATCAACGTTGCTCGTATGTGATATATATCTATCTCTAATCTATATATATATATATATATATATATATATATATATCCCATGCAAGCAACGTTGATATTCACCCTGGTGAATTTCATTGATCAAAACGCCGCTATTCCTCTTTTTCAGGCATAAGGCCGGGCCAGTGCCCCAGTCATCGGCTGGTGTTCAAATCTCGCACATGGAGGGGTGAGTGCAAAACAGACTGCGAATGCAACAAATCTCATCACAACGGTACCTGGAAGTGCTGCCCAACGTTTTTGGGAAATCTCTGTCTACCGCCATGCAACCCCAACTGCACGGGTATCCAGGTGTGCGCGCTGCTCACCCAGGCGAACCCGTGGACCTCTATCTGCGTCTATCCCTGATCACAGCAAACGGGTGCCGCGGCATCGGCAATTTCAAAAGAACTGACGATCGGAGATATTCGCATTCCCTGCAGCTGGAGGGCAGAGACAGCCATTTGGTAGATGGTGTCAGTTATCGTCGCAAGGTAGTCATGGCTGGGAGCTTCAGCGAAGTTTGTACACTGCGACTCGAAGATAAGTTTTCACCATGTCGCAGTGCCCTGCTGTCTGCACCTGTCTTGCTGTTTCACCCGTGTGTGCGCTGAGTGACGAAAGGTAAATGTTGTTCAGCCTGTTTCGCACCTTGATGTTTTCTGGTGAGAAATACATGGGCTACGATTTACCGCATGTTTTGTGAAAACCACTCCTAGCAATAGGTAAGAACATCCGAGAGTGGGACGACGATAAATTTCGAAGGCAGCCATCGGCTTCGCTGAGAGTTGTAGTAGTTCTGATTAATCTTAAACATCGTTTCATGAATTGAATGAAAACATATGTAAGTAGCTTTTTTGTCAATAGCCTTCAAATGCTCTTTAAATTCTGAGTTCCTAAAGTCGTCATCTGTCCGGAGAAATCCCGCAAAACTTGCACACGCAGAATTTGAAACACCCTCTGTGAGGCAGGTTTTGGCCTTGCTTACTGCTGGCTTAAAGTTGGAGAATACTTCCCCATGGATGATATCGGGATATGATTCTTAGGTTTGTCGCTTCCAACCAGAGACATGGTGTCAGTCCATTAAGGAGAATGGAGATGTCTTGCATCTCCAGTGCCAAGGACGCCTGGAGCTGCTTCTTCCGGAAGGACTAGCGTCACGATGTTCCGGCAACAAAATGGCGCCCGCCTTGTCGATATCTTCAGGCATGGATAGACAGGTGGCCATCAACGTTCCGCTAGTTCTTTTCCACTGACCAGCGCGGCAACACTCAAAGTGCTCTAACAATACAGGAATTTGGTAAATGAATTTAATGTGTTACGCACAGTAGCCATATGAGCCCCTTCTATACGTACTTTTGCCTGCTTGCTGCCACCAGCGCTTCAGGTTTGGCTCGGTTTGGATTTTAAAAATAATCAGGCCATGGTTTGGAAGGCGTACTTGGCTCCAGACGACAAGGACCAAAATAGACTTGCCCTTGCTATTGGCTAGGCTCCCGTGCCGCGATTCTAGCGCCGTCTCAACTGCTTCGCGGCGATATGAGTGACACCTGGTGTCGGTCTGCCAAGGTGTTTTGGTCCACGATATCAGGGGTCGGCTCGGGCTGAGGACAATAGTGCGTATAGATGGAGAATGCATGCCATTTGTTCGTGATGCCTTAAATTCAGATACCTTCACTTTGATGTCAATCTTCGCTGTCTGTCGTAATTGCAACACTTTCCATCGTGGCGGGATCTGGAAGTGCTGTTCATCTTTCCTGGGCAACCTCTGTCAGCCGCTGTGCGACTGCACGTGCCCGTTCTTTAGGCTGCGGGCGCTGCTCACATAGGTGAACCCGTGACATTCATTCCGTGTTCACCGTTGTTCCAGGAATGTTACCTTCTGCGTCGAACAGAGATCGTTGATGGAGAGATGGTGCCAGGTGTTGTTGCACGGTAGTCACAGCTGGGGATTTCGGAAAAGTTTGCAATCTTCGCTTATCACATACAGTTTTGAAACGTCGCAGTTTCCCGTTGTTCACACCTGGCTGCTGTTATGTGTTTTTGCAGTTGTGTGTGCGCTAAACAACAAGCCGTGAATAATGTTCAGCCTCATTCACACACCAATGAGCTCTCATGAGAAGTACGTTAGAGAGGATTGACCGGCAGCGTTGTGAAAACAGTTTTTAGTTGCGTGAAGGTACCAGGCAGATTGAGCACACGTAGAGGCAGCGCTCTGTATTAGGGGACTATGTCGCTTTCTATCTCTGTGAATTAGGACGTGGGAGATGCCCGAACGGCGCAGGCAGGTGCGAATCAGGGCCTGGGATGCGCCGCTTTAGCTTCCAGTCAGAAATGCACCACACCAGAACACGTTCATCTTCAAAGAAATCAATGGCAAACGGTAGCATAAAATCTGCAGAAGCTATTCACCAGTCTCACATTAAACCCAGGGCGTTCTTGAAGCGAGGCAGGTCAACCCGTCACAGTGAGTATTAATCAGCTGTCCGTGCCGTGACGTCACGTACACCTCCGAGATGCAGCATTACGGCCCGTTATGCGGACTACGCAGTCCCGACAGCGGGCGGGTGGAGCACTGTGTAACCGAGGCCCCACACTACGCAGTATGCAGGGGGGCCAGCGCGGGGTAGGTACCGGTGATTTGCCTGGGCCCCACGGGGCGACGGACAGGTATCGATCGACCCAGTGACATTTCAACTATCTAGAAAAACACTGACCGCCGACAGCACTTTGTTTCGGAATGACATCGTGCTGACCTACTGGCATCAAAACAACATAGTCATCCCTTTCGCCGTAAAAGAAAGGAATGCGGCAATGGGCCTGAGTCATGACTCAAGCTGTCATTTGGTGGCCTGTCAGGCTGCGGTTCGTGCCACGATCCACCACCCCTGCCTCCAAGCCCCTATCTGCCCCCTCCACTCACCCCACACACACACAGCACGCCGCGCGCCAGTGTGTGTGTGTTGTGTTGTGTGTGTGTGTGTGTGTGTGTGGTGTGTTGTGTTGTGTGTGTGTGTGTGTGGTGGTGTGTGTGTGTGTGTGTGTGTGTGTGTGTGTGTGTGTGTGTGTGTTGTGTGTGTGTGTGTGTGTGTGGTGTGTGTGTGTTTGGTGTTGTGTGTGTGGTGTGTGTGTGTGTGTGTGTGTGGTGTTGTGTGTGTGGTGGTGGTGTGTGTGTGGGTGTGTGTTGTGTGCGGCGCGTGCGTGCGTGCATGCGTGCTTGCGTGCATGCGTGCTTGCGTGCGTGCGTGCGTGCGTGCGTGCTTGGGTGTCGATAATGGATGTACCGAAGTTCCAACATGCCGAGTCGTGCGCTTAAGTTCAGCCGGCTGGTAGGCTGACCAACGGGCTCCTACAAACCAACGCCTCTGTGCAAGCCCCATCCTCTCGGGATGGCTTGCACAGAGGCGCCCTCGGCGGCACCGGGGATAGCGCCCCATTAAGAGCTCACAGCGGCAGCCGGCGTCGCAGACCAGCAACAGCAGCACCAACCACTGCCCATATCAGCCGGAGACTACTAGACTGCGAACTGCAGAGGGTACTGAAGCATAATTCACAAAGGTCGTGGTTCGGAGCCGTTGGTCGCTTTCCGTTATCCAGCAGAACGCCTTCCTTTCAGGTATTGCTCGTTTTGGAGTGATACATGGCTCAAAAGTAGATTGGCCGATGGACTTCATTCCAAATGATACGGAGCGAAATTGGCTGGACCGTCACAACCTAATGCGCGAAGAACTCTAGCCCCGACCTCCGTATTCTGCACGACTATGACATCGGTTTTAAGTTACAAACGGAACAGCAAGTCCTGCGTTGCCAGCTCCCTCTAGCAGCGACATGTGCGACACCTAGCGCCGCCGTGATAAGATGCATCGGGCAAGGCTTGCGGACAGGAGCACACACAGAATAAAGTATGACAGTGGCTCGTAAGATAAGAACGTATGCCTAATGTTCGTCAGAATAAAGCACGTAGGATGCATAGTTCGTAAGGGTAAGTCAATGCAAAATAATGACAACAGCAATTATGGGAAAGGTGATATGATAAAATGGTCGTCAGCAGAAGTTTCTAATGCGAATATTCGTAAGCGCAAAATGTTGCATAGAAAGACGGTTCGTATGGAGGTTCGTACGCAATTTGCTGTACCCAAATATTTGGTCGAAAATATTAGTCCAGCCAACATTCATTTCACATAATCAAGTAAGCAAATGTTGGTATTTCCATAACTTATGGCGCACACAAAGTTCTTACGTAAATATTCGTCAGGTATGTGTTTTTGACAATAGCATGCACGCAAATCTTCGTATGCATACGTGTTCTGAACGTTAAAAGACAGATATTAATCATGGCGGAGGTGCCGGATATATGGTCATAGCGGGTGGCACACCCCCCCCCCCCCGCCCTTCCCGTCGCAGGGGAAAGGATATGGAGTGACGATGAACGGTTACCATTATTTGGTTCAGGTCAGGTACTATGACTAATCTTACGTTCCTGAACTGAACCTTGGGGTCTGAGACGGCCAGATAATGAATTCAAATCAATTGGGGTTATTGCACGATGACCCCCGGATAAAGGGAGCCAGAGGTTTACAAAAAAACATGTCTACTACAGATCACCCGTCGAGCTCTGGTACTTCCCCTCACTTACCCCTCAATCTGGCCACGTCTCTGCCGACAACTTAACCTGACGCCGTTGGGCACGCAGCTGACGTCAGCGACGAACGCGACGAGTCAGCTGGCTTTTGGAATACGATAGGCAGACGCGCCAGTGACATTCGGTGTACATTGCTACCATAAAACAAATCGGATTTCAAAGAGAATATGCACCAGCTGAATCTGTTTTGGTGTACCTTCTTTTATTAAGACCCTGTTTGCACCCGACCAAACAATGCCCGACAGCGTCATGTTTTCAACCGTACGCCGGATATACCTGGAAGTTACTCAGTGAACTTTATACCTTAGATCACCCCCTGAAACATAATTTCAACGAAGTTCAGGAGCTGCCGGTGCACAATTTGGTGCGGTGGTGGGTCAGCTGTCCCATAGACCAGCCCCATAGAAGCTTCATCCACCACCATCGCACAGTTAATGTTCTCCATGCATCGTCATATGCTTAACGTTGATCGTTCTCGGAAAGTGGGGTGCACGTACGGCCGCCCGCTTCTACGCCTATGCCGCTGATGAGCTTTTGCGTACGTGCTTTTGCCAACCAACTTTATCCGCTTCGAACACTTGGTAGTTATTTTAGATCTATCCGCTTAAATACTTAGCATTTGCTTTCAGTTCATCCCATTCTAAAAATTTCCTGCGAGAAATTGCGTACGTCTCTCGCTCGCGAAAGTGCGTGCTCGAATGCTCCTCAGGTTAACATTTCTTTCAGCAGTACAACGTGCTCAAAAGTGTATATGCCCATGCATGATCAAATGATGCAAAGTTCGTTCGAAAATGTTCGCCCGGCCTGACGCCACAGACAGTCAACTCAACACATGCGCATGCGCTCTTGAGGCTTCTAACCTTGGACACAGCAACCTCGAACATTCCGTAACCCGTTGCCACAACAGCACTGCGGAACTCTACAGACAAAGCAGTGAACAAGAAACACAACGAACACTCAGCAAGCAGCTGATTTGGGAACGCACTATCTTCTTCAACTCTGACACAAATATACACAGAAAATCACGTGGATTGTGCATCAAACTCCGA